CACACTGTTCGAGGTGCGGCCTCCCCAGCATGGAGTACAGGGGCACGATCACTTCCCTACTCCTGCTGGTCACACTATTTCTGATACAGGCCAGGATGCCATTGGCCTTCTTGGCCACCTGGGCACACTGCTGGCTCATTTTCAGCTGGCTGTCAACTTTCGTGATGTGGATTTAGAATGAACAAACCTATCCTGCATTTTAATACCAATATCTATATGCAGTCTGATAAGACTAATTCTTACACCCTTCTTCTTTCAAAGAAGTACTTTCTCTACAAAATAGAGGTGGAAGAGAACCAGATCTTTGGTTCGTATTCTGCGAATTCAGAGCTTCCTACCTTTTGGTGACACCATACATTTCTTCTATGATAACCTGAAGAACAGCTCGATAAAACAATGATTCTGTAGGCAGCTGCAGAAAAATTTACAACAGCAAGGATTTAAAATTGACATTGAAATTAAGATCAGAGTAACAAAACCAGTATTGGCTTCCTTAACTATTTATTGGCTTGTATTCTTTACAATCAGTCATAACAGGTTTAAGAGGACAATTTACTAATGTTCTTGCATCCAGTTAAAATTACGTCAGATTCTAACATAACCATGAATGCAAAAAAAAAAAAAAAAAAAGAAACCCAAAATCTGAAGTAAAAGTTCAAAGGTTGGCAGAGGGAAAAAGAACAGAGGAAAAATGTACTGATCATGATCCAAATTCTACTATACAAAATAAATAAATACAACAATTTACCTGAACTGTTTTAAAAACAAAAGCAGTAATTCCCTAGCTGAATAACCATACACTGTTCTCTGAATCATGCAGAAATTACTGTGCTCATAAAACCAGAATACACTGAAAACTTCATAACTTTGGGTATGAAAGATCTGTTTGCATAAAAATAGTTAATGCTTGCCAATCAAAAATTCACAGCAAAATGCATGTACAGTAGAAGACTACTGGGGCCAGTGGGCTTACATATGGCCTTGCCTTTCAAATATTTGCACAGTTAGTGTCCACCATCCCCGAAAGGATAACTTGCACAACGATAATTCAAAGTATTCATAGGAAAAAAAATATACAGGGATTAAAAGTGAGAAGGAAGATGTTTCTAACAGGTTCAAGCTTTTGTCATAACAATTTCTAATTTTATATTGGTTGATAAAACACTGGGATAGAGTGATCCAAACCAGGGATATCAGAAGGACATTTGTACCGAATTTACGTATTAGCTGAAACATAGCGAAAGAAGTTTATGGGTAGTTTAATGTCTTAAATTTTAAGCAGTGCCTTTTTTTCCAGACTCTTGTCAAAAGAAAACTGATTCCCTAAGTACAATCACAGCAATAAAAATATGATTTCATGATGACACATGCTATCTATCAGGATTTGATATAGTGTATGCTAGTATTTAAGATTCCAGAAAGGCAGAAGTTCAATAAAAGTTCATGGATTAAGAGCATTCAAGGGGGGAAAACACATTTTATCTTAGAATGGCTAAAATAAACAATATTACTTACCATTTGGCCAACTGCAACTCGCTCCAAAGCCTTTAAAAGTGAAGGAATTAAATTGCTGGTATGTTTATTCTTTATCAGAACATTTTATAAACACATTGTATAAAAGTCAGAGGAGATGACATTTTAAAAGATTAATGGTGTGACATAACACAAGCTTGCACACTTTAAAGTGTTAATAGCTTTAGGGACTTATAATCAGCTCACTCCTGTTATTTTCGTTTATTTACAGGAGGAGCAATGACAACCAACTGTATGGAAATAGATGCAAGCAGAATTTGTTTTTCTTAGTCTTGTAGAAGAATTTCAGAGGATTACTTTCTGTGAAAGCGCTAAACAGACATGCATTTTTCTTGAGTCTGTTCCTACTGAAATACAAATCATTCACTTTGCATATTCAACTATCTTAAAATAAATATTAGTTCAATGTACAATGTCTTTAAATAATTTTAGTCTTAAGTATTCAGACAAATTTACCTTCTGTACGTAAAATTAAATAAAATAAAAACTTCAGAGGGACTGAAGTTTAAAATGATGTACGTTATCTTTTGCTATTCTTCATAACATAAATCCTGATGCAGGTGTGAGAGTACTTGATTTTTGTGATCCATAGTGACCAAGAATGACAAATAATTAGAAGCGTGGAATATTTTTACATAGTTGAAAAGATACTGTGCCTGTAAAAATTTCAACCGAATATTAAAGATCATAGTAGAAACAAAGACAAAAATTCAGTAAATTACCTGACACCACAACAAATTAGATAGCAAACCCAAAATGCCTCACCACTTATGGGGTCATTGTGACCTTTAGTCCCCAAATGCCACTACAGTGAATAAGACTGCTTGCCTCCAAATCACCTACTTCTCCTTCTCCTAGTTTTAGAACTGATCTTGTCTTTCAGATTGTTCTTCAAACACCGTCCAAGTAGTTGCAGTTCCTCCGTTCATGGCTTTGGCTGACTACCAGGTTTGGCTTCTGTGGTATAAGTTATAGCCCTCATACCAGCATGTATCTGCTGCTGCTTAGAAGACAGATGTGGCTTCTAACAGGTATTGTAAGGGTCTGAAACTGAAACTCTTCTCCAGAACCTTTGGCCCTTGGCACTTTAACCGATTTGAAAGACATATAGCATCAACAATAATGCTGCATCATTGCTCAGCAGACTCAGTTTCTCCTAGCCAGCCATTACCCCTAGGAAGATGGGTGCCTAGCTGCACTGCGCTGTCTCCCTTGTACCTCCTAGAAGGCAAGGAAAATCCTAGTCATGAAAAATGCATAGAGAGAATTGCAAACATAGTAACAGTAGAAGTATCTAGTGACACAGGAGAACTCTTTGCCTTTTGTGGATGTTTAAACAAGAAAAAGTTTTTAACTGCCAAATTTCTGTGATTTCTGTGAAATCTAAAATAGATATATATGGCATGATCAGTACTGTCTCCTGGGGGTCATTTGCTTACAAAATTTATCTTCCTACCATTGTTGAAAAATGGTCCACATTTTTTCTTTCTAAAAGAAATGGAATGGGAAAGGAAATAGCTAACGTGTCAGATGAGGAAGAATTGGTATTGTATGACACCGACAAGAAAAGGAGAAAAGAAAGCACTTTTTGTGATAAGTTATACAGCAACATCACTAAAAGGAACAATTTTTTACTTGTACCTTGCCAAGGGTAACACATTTAAGCCTTATGAATACTAAACAACTGTCCTCCTATACCTTCTCCTGATAGCATTTAACTACCATGTTATTTCAAGTTTACATGACCTTAATACATTAGCCTATACTGAATCTTTAGTGCACACCGTTCTCTCTAACAGAGGTACAGAGCTAGCAGCAGAGGCTAGCCAGAACCTGATGTGATTCATTTTGATACCAGAAATTAAAAATGAATAGAGGAAAGGAATAGTGGTCTTCTAATTGAAACAGTGATTGAAATTTTCAGTACATTTCTGTTTTTTCAAATTAGACAACAGTTCATCATCCTGTCTTGATGAGGTTAGGTCTTTAAAAGCACTTAATCTCTTGGTGCAATGTTAAAAAGATGTTTCCAGTCTCTTAAGCCACATGGATTTTAGAGCTCTTCTGGTTTTTGGAATAGGCAGGTTTGTTTAGGTTTTAAACAGTCCGAACATTCAATATTATGAATCATGAAGGCGTTGGGGGAGTTACTGATTGCAGTCCTTCTACAATTACCTTGTTCCCCCTAAGTCCTTGGCCAGGAACTATTACCCTGAGGGGTTACCTTGCTTAGGTTTCAACACAGGTTTGGCCTTTCTGTCCGCTCTTAAAATACATTTCTGTCAATACTCATTTTTTCATGCCTTCAGCAAGTATAAAATATATAAAGCTGGAAGGTCAATACTATTTTTTTTTAGATATAATTCATCATGCTTACAGCATTAATGATGTTATTCTGTAGAATCTTGGATTAAAGTCATGGCTCTAGGATTAGAAGCCAAAACCAATGAATCCTATAACATCTGGATAAAGCTCTCAGTAGGAAAAAGAAAAGAAGGGGAATCATACCAAGCATGCTGACATCCTAGCATTGCGACCACAGCACCACCCCTTGTCCTTCAAGTACTGACACATGGGAAATCCCCGCACTTCCTCCGGGCAATCTGCAAAATGGTGAAAAAAAAATAGGCACAGCTTTCATGGGTTATTCTTCTCTTACTTAGAGAATACACAATGTATTGAGCAAGCTGAACAGTAGTTTATGGTAGCAGAAACGCTTAACTGTTCTAGTCCAGTACCAAAACCCATCGTAGTGTTACAAAAAACGTGTTTTCCCTGTAACAGATGGTTTTGGTTTATGCTGAATTTCTGATATTCCACATTTTCCAAAACAATTTTAACCTAGTGTCTTTTATGAAAATCCACTGAAAAAATGTTCCAAGGGACAAGAGAAGAGTTTGCAAATACTCATGGCACCCCATGCCATGAGTCACAAGATGTAAGCCGGGCAGCCATTCAATGTAGCAGGACCTCAGAGTCGCTTCTCATTGGGTTCTCCGTCTATCATAAACATCTTTCAAACATCACATGGAACATCCTATATTTGCTTATTTCACTTCTGAAGGCCTGCGCTTTGCTGCGACACAGAATGTTTGTTTTCCAGAAAAGAGCAGCTGCAAAGGCTCTTGCTGTTTCTTCATAACACCAAGAAGCATTTGCACCACAATCTGTGCTCAGTTTATTTCAGTATCATTAATATTTTGAATAACAACACAATTCTTCATGTTTAACACTCATGCAAATGTGGGAAAACTAAAGTACAGAGATTGATTTACAGATGTTCATAATACCCAGTTTTAAATGTAGACGAACTCTACAGTGTTTTGAATTTTCATTAGCACATTTGTCAGCTGATTTTTTTAGAATGCTGAGTAAGAAGTACTACTTTCTTTAAAAAAAATATAAAAAATTGGCTAGGATCCTGGCTTTTTAGCGTAGAAAGATGACTCGGGCATATTTAAAGATAAATCAATGTAACAGGGTTAAAAAAAGGACAGCAGTAACATGATTCTTTGAATTTACCAAAAGTCTGGGATACTAACACATTTTGTGAAAGTTAAGCAAAGAAAAAATGGAAATAGGAAACCATAAAGGATATGACTCTCCTTCCAACAGCAAAAGCCCACAGTTTTCTAGCAGTAGCCCCCAGTCTTTGCTGATTTCTACAGAGTAGCAGCAAGCAGGTGGTCTTCTGCAGGCAACCTGGCAGTTTGCTCTCTTTTTAGCCCTGAGAAATCTCAGAAGCTTTTAGGGAATGACTGCTGGTTTGAGGAAAAAGGAGGTTAGTTCTGGATAATTAACATAAAGAGGAAGAACGTTCCTTTAGATGCAAAGATGAAATTTGACAAAGCAGATTGCAACTGGTTCCACACTAGGAATGTACTAAGAATTTGTAAGTGCCTCATGACAATATAAAACATTCATTAACTTCAAGTCTAATTATTGTGTACATGGAATAAAACTGAGTATTCCTACCACAGGGATGGTAATAAGAGCTTATTAAATATATTTTTGCGAAGTTAACAATGGCTGCCATGGTTCCTATTGTATGAATCACACTAATAAGTCTTTCTAATACATATGGTAAAAGATTTCAAAATAAAAATTTGCAAACTGAGTTAGAAAGATGCAATCTTTTCAGGTTACCCCTTCTAATTTACACCCTGTCCTCTAGGCAAACTAATCATCCATGCAAGTTAAAGTTGCTACCCGCTGAGCTACAATCTCAATATTAGTGCACTGCACTCATGCATAATTCTGAAGAATTTATGACACCTTTGAAAAAGATAATTAGGCAAAGCACCATCTTCATTTAAGTTATTGAAACTGTAAAGTAGGAAAAAAAGAGGGAAACTAATGCTCTTAGAATTTTTTGTGTATATCCAAAGCTGACCACATATCTACAACACTGCCTTGAGTTCTATTTATTTTTCCATATCCAGTCCACTCTCAATCATGCTGCTGGTTAAAAGAAAAATTGTAGGATGAATATATTGCTATAAAGTTCATATAATTATGACATATGTTAAAACTCTGGAAATACTGTTAATGCCTGCAACTATTTTCAGATATATATTTCAAATATACAATATTATATAGCTCACTAATTACCATTTTGTGCTTCTATCTGACAACACAGCAGCTGTTCTAAACCATATAAATGACCAAAAAACATTCAAGCAACATTTTAAGTATAGGTATTCTATGGAAGATTTCACAGCAAACAGGTCAGGTGTTCAACAGTGCATGAAGCAATCGTGTTATAATTTAATATAGAGGAGCCAATCAGACAGAATTCTCCTTCCCATGAGAAGTTAACAAAATGGGGAATTCTAGGTAATGATTTGATGAGCTGAACTGAAGCTATGCTGGGGTATAATCCTAGAACCCTTTAATTAAGTAGCTATTACTTTACCTCTGAGCTAACCTCTTAAAAAGACCAAATCACACATCCAACAAAACAAATTGCTGCAAATATTGCACCAAAAGAAATAATTGCAAAAAAAAAAAGTAATACCATTACTTTCTAGAATAAAATCTATAAACCACACTACAAATTTAATGTGAATCACTTACAGAAGAAGAGAACATAGGAAACATCATAGAGTTAAAGCAGCATCATAAACAACATGAAAAGCTGTATCCTAGTCCAGCTTTATGGAACAGGATGGTTCACAGCAAACCTACACAGACAAAATACCAATTTCAGTAGCTTGAAGATACTTGCTGTTATTTTTCACTGTCCCCATGAATGGGATGCATCTGGCTGAAGTGAGGAAAGATACTCATCAAAATCACCCAGTTACACATAGCAGGGTAAGACAAAGCACAGATTGCACAGAAACATATAATGCCAAATAAAATGGAAAAGAACAATTCCAGCCATTAGACAGAAAACAAATTCCTATTATTTCCCTCTGACTGAGTTTAGTAATATTTGTAGTTTCATGGAAGAGTTTTTAAATGTCTATGTTTAAACAAACTAATCCCGTCTTTACCATTCTTTTTTGACAGTAAAGAACATTTTTCTGATAGCCATAACATCTCTTCTCCTAGAAAAATATTTTAATAGGGACTTTCCAAATTTTCGCCACTTTTTTCCATGACAAATTTTTTCATCTCTTTTGAAAAACAAACAAACTTTTTGGATCTTAAAACATAGGTGGGAGAACCCTTTAAAATATTTGGATACTTTAAGCAATCCCTCAATAGATTTATTAACTCTACTTGTGACCACAGGTATGTCTCATGACTGACTGACTAACTTCAGTGGCTAAGTTCTCACTCCTCTAACAGGCAGAAATGCTATATGGAGACACTGTCTTGACTATAGTTTATTGTGTACTTGAAATCCTATGGAGCAGATTAACACTTTGGGAAATAAGTGCAAATACATCCAGTTGCCAACCAAAACTGAAAAATATTAATAGAATTTTTTACTCAGTGCTGTCTAGCAAAGGACAATACAAAGCCTCAGGTCTATATTGGTAAAACATTTTAAATTTGAGTGAATGTAAAGTCTCATATTTTATCGTCAACTGAACGAGAATACATTTTCTATGAAGTATGTCAGATTACCTTTCCACTTCTTTTGGGAACCCAGTACTGCTATTGTTTTTTAATATTTTGTCAGAACGAAGTTCTTATTTCTTAATTTAGTCCTGGAAGTCATATGTTATTTCCTGCCCTCTAATTATTTAGACCTTTTTGTAAGACCTTCAGTAAATTGCTCTTAAGCTTTGTAGAGGAATCGGATCTCCATTTTGTGTAATTTTTGTAATACTGCAATACTAGCAGCATATACCATTTGGAGTACCTGTACTATTTTGAACTTCGTAAAGGATTTTCCCGCTTTCTATTCAACTTCCAAATGAAAAAAATGGCAATACATATGGACATCTGGTACACTTATACTGAGTAGTAAAAAAGTATAAATCACAACAAATATATATTTATAATTCGATCAACTACAACCTCCTTCATCATGATTTAATTCTGTCTGGATACGGAGAAAAGTTTCAGGTGAGCCTTATTGCTGTTATTATCCTATTCACAGATCCATTAAGACTCTTACTGGCCCAGCAGTGTTTCAAAGAAATTTAGAAGAGCTGTTTAACTAACCAAACAATTAAGTGTAGCTAGGGAGCAGGATTTCCAAAAGACAGAACACAATGGTTTTTATTTATGCTTCCTTTCTTGGTAGTTACAGAAAAAATATCTGGCAGTAGAAGTAAGATGAAAGGATTTTACTAATCCTTCTGTACATGCACAGAGGTTTCCAAGGAGGTTCAAGAGAATGGGACAAGCTTCTCCACTGTCTTTAATATTAGGCCTTCCATAGTTCTTAAACTCTAAGTAAGATACAAAATTTCTAGTGCGCTAACATTTAAAATTTGCTTTGCACAGCTTTATGGCACTATATAGTTTCTGTGAAACAACAGGACCAACAGTTTTTTTTGTTACCTAGACAAATAAGCTTAACTAGGGTTCCATGTGGTCTTGCAGTTTCTTCTTTATCTTCCTTCGCTCAATTTCAATGAAAACGTATTTCATTTATGCTTCTCACCTTCTTACTTTCTTGCAATTCCCAGCTGTTCTGAACTGCAGTTCCCAATACAACAGCTAATTTGTCATGTTTTCTGCTTTACCTTCTGGAAGAGATAGTTTTATTGAGATAATGTGTTGAACACTATTTGTTACACTCATCCTGGCAGAAACAATCCAAATTTTGTCACAAAACAATGCTTAACCCAATGGTTAATGGGTAATTTATTAAAAAAAAATAATCAGGGTTTTGTTTCACTTTTGTGCTATGGCATAGATGATTATAATATCTGTTTTGATAATTTTCATCTGCTCTTTAAAAATGAAGTAACACAAATAAGTTATTAAAAATGGCAAAGTACTATATACAATAGAGGATTCTGATTTTCTTGAAATGTACTTTATCTTTCTATTCTATTTCTAAAATTTTAAGATTGTCTAGTATATACATAACAACACCAGAAGAGGTTGCATGTGGCAAAGAGAAGGCAGAAATATCCTTTTAGTGTACAGGCTGAAGTTCTCACTCTATTCATTGTATTTTGTTTAAGAAATCATA